GCTTGGAAATATCAGTGCTTTTGATCTTTTTGAAACAGTCTTGCTCACATTAGTAGATTTTAACACTTAGGTTTTCTTTTTGACCTCTCAGCATATTTAGTTTTAGCATATTCAAAAGTCTTAGCCAGTTCAGTGGTTGTGAATCCATAGCTTTGTAGTCACCAGACACTTCAGTAACAATATAACAAATTCTGGTTTAAGAGAATTAATTTTGTGCTGATGACAGAAACTCCAGCCTGTAAGATTAATGGAAACAGCATTTCTGAATTCTTGAAGGACTTTAAAGGTGACAAAAGTACCTTTAAAAAAATCTCATTTCACTTTACTTTTACTATTGCCATTGTATTGTTCTTTATTAGCACCAACTTAAATTTGTCCATTTTTGACAGCGAATACCTGAATAGGAGTTAACCGTTTTTAAAAATACACTGACTAATGTCCAGTCAGACTACTGAGTTTCAAAACTTTGCATTTTTATGATCTCTATTAAACAGAAAAAAGGAAGTACTTCCTTTTACATCACCATGTCAACACAAACACACTCTCATATATGCACACACATACAAAAAAAGGTACTATTCAAGTCACTTCAGAGTTTACTGGTCACCACATGGGATCCTAAATAATAACAGGAAGAAAAATGAATAATGCTTTGTGAAAAAACAGCAGCTTATTTATGCAGTGTTTCAAGAATTAAAATGGTGCTGTGTAAAATATGAGGAGTAAAGATAGTTGCTCAGATTAGGCATCACAGCCTGTATTCTATTTTAATAAAGCAACGGGTTAGCATATATGCTAATATATATGCTTTCCATGCATGTATTTGTGTAAACTACTTTAAATCCTTCTCTTTATAAAAAATTATGGTTGCAGGCAGCATTCAGATTTAATTTTCAGCAGTGTAAGTATGAAATAACAGGACTGCTTGGAGTGCAGTTTCACTCAGGGCTATGCATTTGAATAGCCAAGATCACAGCGCTGGCCCTGGGGCCAGCATATCTTTAAAATGCATTTTTGGTAGCAATAAAAAGAAGCTGTGTTTTCAGAGGATTGTGTTGACAGCAAAGTATATCAGTGAAGGCCACCTCACTCACAGTGAAGGTCTGCATTTTAAAACAGCACTAAAACAAAATAGTCATTGTGTTTTGACGAGGGTCTTAACTATTATAGCAGAACAGCTAGAACTGCAAAAAAGTGCTGGATCTCTCAAAACTCTTAACTCCAAACTGGAGGACACACTATTACTAGGGGCTTCTTCTTTGCAGCTTTTTTAAAATACAGTCTCTATTGTCAGTGTAAACATTGAGAAACCCAGGCTAATACTTATTTTTAAAATGCAGACTTAATTTATGACAGCTGCGTTGGATTGTTAATCGTATATTATCTTTAAGGGAGTTTTTTTCTAACATATGTTAATTGGCTGTTTTCTGTGACAAATTATGAGCTCTTACTTTGATGAGGTTCAATTGCAATCATGTTGGAGTTGAGTATGTAGAGTTTCCAGCCCCCACTGGCTCCTTAAACCACTACAAACATCTGCACGTCACTGCAGTACTGAGTAATAGCAGGATTTGGGTTGATGTGATCTCTGTACTGAGTTTTTTCCACAGGATATTTTCAGCTCTTTGCACTGAATCTGTTACAGGGTTTGCTGTTTTAGCAAAAGAGCTAAAATTAATATCTTGTATGGGCTTATTAGAGTACAATGAGAAGTAATTAACAATATATTGCAATTTTTTTAAAATATTCAGAAATTTCAATGCCTTATTAGAAATTCTCTCTCAGCTTTATTGCATTCAAATCTACTGGTGTCATATAGCATTTCCAGGAGCAAAAATGCTGCCTGCTTTTTCGAGCCAATGTTTTCTAATTCTTAAATATAATATTTGCAAGTAAAAAAAAAATAAAAAAAGAAAAGAAAAGAAAAAGAAAAATATTTTACTTGAGAAGTGGTTGACTTCACTTTAACTTTTTTAATTTTTACCAAAAACAAAAAAGTGTATTTCCCAGCTCTACGGGAGATGTGTCTAATGGTGTTTTACATAAACTTGCACATTTTCCTGTTAGTAAAGAGAATTTTGCACTGAAATTAATGCCTTTCTTACTTTTTTGTATTAAAGAAAATCATGCTTACATATGTTCAGTATACAAATTAAGGAAATTCAGAAAAAAATACCACAATGGAAGTTGTTGCATTTTTTATTTGGTACCTAATCTTTTGATGACCCTTGGACACCTTATTGTATTTTATATGGTAATTCATTAGAAATACTGGGACAAAAAATGTGTGCTGTATTTACTCAAAGCTGTACTTAGGGTGAATGTGCAGAAATATGCAATTTTATATATATTTTAATAGTGAGAGAACAGCCTGGTCATAAAACTGTGTCAAACAGTATCAATTACATTGCAGTTAATTTAGCAGAACACTACACTGCTCAGCTTTGACCTAAACCAAATGGCATTAGATAAATCTGTCCCATTTGTTCTTCAGAGAAAAGATAGAGGTTAAATTTCCAAGCAAGTGTTAGAGTTTAGAACAAGAACCAGATATGTTTGGAAGTTACTTCAATCTCGTGAGGGTGATTTTAATTCAGCTATTCCCCTGGAGTACCACACAATCAATGAGTTCCAAATCCTGGGGCTACCTGCCCTTATGTAAAATCATTGGAATATTTCTTCACAGATTATCACTGCACATGTGTGGAAAAATTAGATCAGAAACTAGAGGTAAAAAGGTTAACCTCAGAATTTACATGAACATCATATTTCCTTAAATTTCTGCAGTAGAGAGGTGACAACCAAGTGGAAATGCCTACAGAAGGGATGTATTACTATAAGGAGAATTGTAAGCAATGTAGAACTCAGACCATGGGTATTTAATATGTTTCTCTAGTCACTGCTTGTTGTCAGGTGTAATTTAAAAGTGAGCATATGTAGGTCATATGCAGAACAGTGAAGATCATTAAAGATAGGTGAATTGAAGAGAGATTTCAAAATGATGGTTTTGAATGTGTTGTCCCTACTTCAGAATTGTTGGTGAAAATAAAGTGATGCATTTCATCTTGAAATAATCTACAAATGATATTCAGTTGTGCTTGCTAACATGAACTTAATTGGCTTTAAGAAAATAAAACAAGGTAAAGGGAGATATACATGTGAAAGACAGGGATTGGCACTTTATTGGATTTTGAGGCCTGTGAGCCATGTGTCTTAATTGGGGCCAGTTGGGATCATTTAATAATTGCTGTCAGAAGATCAAATTTAATTCTCTTTAAAAAAAGACCACAGTGGGATAGAGTAAAAAAAATTGCCATCTGAGATTTCAAATGAACTAAGCTTTAATTAGGCTGATTAGGATGCTGTAAGAGAGAGAAGGAAACAGGAAGCTGATGTATCTGCTGTGTACCACGGTGGACCTTATATGACAGTACTGCCAAATATCTTTATTTCAAGAAGATATAGATTAGCACAAAGGTTGATAGAGCTACGACAACATAGATACACACATATAATGCATTAGGTATGCCAGGTAACTGTAACTTTCTGAAATTAGTGGTTTTACATATAGATATCAATATATTTATGATCATAATTTTGGCCCTCAATATTACTTCTATATATTTTTTAATATTCTAAGTTTTTTATTTGTTTATATACTCATTGATTATGCCAGATGAGAAGTATAGCCCTTAGAATTTCTCTATTGCATAACAAATATTCACTGTCCTTTGTTCTCAAAACATTTGCATGGGCAAATCCACAAGTTCCTTATCCCCAGACTTCCAACAGAGAAACTGACTAAAAAATGAGAGTGACATTAAATATTTTTGACAGAAAAGGGAGCAGATCTCACACGTTTACATCCCAACCCTGAATACAATTCTTTGAATTATGCTACCTGCTACTTTCACCGCAGCTGCCTGTTTCTAAGGATATATTTTATCAGAAACCATCTTACATATCAATAGAGCTCAAAAAAGTGCAGTTTCTGCGAAAACATAATGTACATTCATAGCCACATAATGTACATTCATAGCCACAATAAGATTTAGCTAATCTATCTTTGTATTGATTTTGTTTTTTGCTTTTTCAGCATGCTTTTAGGATGATTGTAAGATGAGCAATGCTGCCAGTGACCCTGTTAGACAAACAAAATGCTCACTGAAGATAGAATGGAGACTATCCAGAAAATTCCACTGTATTTTCCTTCTGCAAATTAATAATATCTTATGTCTGTTGTCTGATATTTGTAAAGGATGTTGACTTTTTACCTTGGCTATTGCCAAATGCAGTGCATTGTATACAAGCAAGAAATAAATAAATCCAGCTGCATGTGCTAGTGGAGTGGTTATAGCTGAGGTTCTGTAAATAGGGTGAGATGCTCACTTGTGGCTTTTGTAGTTACAGAGAGTAGCAGGTGTACTCTGTGGTAAACACCATCCCTTTCGGTAGAAAATTTTTCTTTTACAAGTCTTGATCTGTTACACTGCAATTCTGGGAAAAATTAGAAGATCAAATCCTCTAATTGGATGAAAATTAGTATGAAACTATGAATTAGCTACCTAGCGCAGTTTTCAAACACTAAATATAAACTATGATATGGTTGAGCAGCAGACTTTATTAGATGAGGCTATTTATATCTTTGCAAGTAATGCCAATACAAAGTTGCAGCTCTTTTATCTCTTTATTATATCACAACATAACTCCTCAGCGTGTTGTATATCCTAGGTTTATCTCTTTCTCTATTTTCATGTGAATATTGTTAACAGAAATATATCTAATGTTTGTCTGATTTTAACCACTAAAGACAAAATAAAATGTGTAGAATATCCCACTAAGATAGAACAGAAAATTTCTTCCTCAATAGATTTTTAAGCCAGTTATTTCAGACAATTTTTTTTCTCCCATGAGGCATTTTTCTACCCTTTTTGCTCAGCAAATTCCATGCTATCTTTCCTTTCTTATAAGCAGTTTCATCTGTTCATGCATTTTCGTAGTTCCAAACCAGTGGGAATCCAATCTGTATCATCCTGCGTAGAGAGATCCTTCTTGTCAAGATGCAGCCAGAAGGCAGAAAGCAAATAGCTTCAGCCAATGATGTATGGTGAGCTAATGCTAACAGGTATGTCCACATACTGGCCACACATTATTTCTCTGTAGTCAGAACCTTCCATTTCTCCAACAGATGCTTTATCCTGGACATGCAGAATTGCAGACATGAGGCACAAGGCAATATATGTGCAAGGTTAATTTCCTATCGAGTAGCTTGTAAATTCTTTGTAATTGTAACTGCTTCGTTGGTATACTGCCACTGTACTTGTCTTTCCTTCTTTCAGAACAAATCCATTCTGAATTCATGTGTTGCTATATAATTTGTCTGTATTTTGTATGTTTAACAGCAGCAGCCTGTCCTAATTTATAAGCTTTTCCATTAGAAAGGACACATATTTCAGGTATTCATATTTCAGAGGTAGTTCCTCACTTCTCTGCAGTGAAATGTAGGTGTGAGGTTTCTTTTTTTATTATTAGCCTTATTATGTACCTGACATACATTTCATCTCTTTTTGTCCTTGGGAAAAAAAAAAAATATCTGAGTGGGATTGGAAGACTTTTGAATTCTCATGGTCATTGGAAAGATTGATATATTTCCCTTGCTTTTTTCCCACTTCTTCCTTCTCCTCATTTTAAGCCCACAGCTGTCTCTGGGCAAGCTGCTGCGTTCAGGAGTTTCATAGTTTTTGTACTCATATCTATCATATTACCCTTCATACAAAAAGAAGGAACCATTATCAGCTTAGCAGCTCTCCACAATGTTGTGCAGTCTACATTTTCAGAAGAATTATATTTAATTTTTGACATTTCTAGAAAGGCCAGGAATTAAAGTAAAAAAAATGTGTTTCTAGAACTGAGAATACACAAAAGAAAAGCAGAACGCCTCTGTGTCTCATCATTCCTCTTTAAGAAATAAATTACCAAATGAAGGGTATACTGATCTGAACTTGCATTAAAAATCTAATCAAGGTAATTAAACATGAGTTATGCATTTAGATTTGTGCTATAAGAAAGCAATTTTTTTTTTCCTGTGGCAGTATAGTTTTAGTTGAAATGGTGTAACACCACAGATAAATTATTTCTAGACAGAAATAATATATCTCATTTTCCAGCTTCTATAGCTGGAAATAAAGTATCGTTTTGGTGTACACCGAGGAGCCAAATAATCATACAACATAAAGGTAATTGATTTTTTCCAAAATTGTTAGTCTACATTAGGTACTAACTCTGCTTGCAACATTTATCTGACTTCTTTGTTCAGTAATAGTGGTGGATGTGTTATCATGTTGGTATGAGCTAAAAGGACAGAAATAGAAACCAGTAATATAGAAATCAGTAATATTCTCTAAATTTAAAGTCATGTCTGTCTGAGACTCCTTCCATCTCTAGAGAGTCAGTGGTCAACTTCGGTGGCTGGTTGCATCATACAAGATCTAATAGCAAAAAATAAATTTAAAAATAGCTAAGGTATTGTAATAAAAATTTTCAAGCCTGAGTAGGTCTTATCATACAGCAAAATACTATCAAATAGCTTGAGAGTCTGGCATACAGAGATTCCATGGGACTCCAAAGGTTTGTGCAGATTTTGTGGAATTTCAGTGGCTCAGGACATGTGAAAATCTTTTATGTTTAATTACTTAATTTCTCTGGGAGGAAGCTGAACCATGTTAAGAGATATGCTTAAGAGTCATTGCTCAGTTTGGGCTTGAGAAGCTAGCCAAATTCAAAGTATTATAAAGGTTGTTGCCTTTAGGGCAGGGAAACTGATAAGTGACTCAAATATTTCCTTAAAACTGTTATGCCACCCCAACATATTATATTTGTTTTCCCATCAAGATACTTCCCATCGCAAACCTGAAACAGTTTTACTTTCATTCAAGCTTTACCTAGGCAATTTCTGTCACTTACTTTAATTATGTTGGAAAGGATTCCTTTCATTAACTCCTAACAATGTTTCCATAGAGTTTGTTCTCTGGTAGAAGTTTTTCTTACAATTAGGAACTTATTTACATCTCAGGGCTTTTTCTCTTAGTTTCTGCATTCATGTTCCCAGTTTTATGATATTTTCATCCACAGCTTTTTGTCCTGTTCTACCTCTTTAGATGATCCTTCCTAATTTTCAGCTTAGTCTTTGAACTACAGTGCTCTGTCATTCATTTGCTTGGAAATTTAAAGACGTTTTGGGTTCTTATTACGGTTTGTTGCATTTATTTATACCACAAAAATACTCTTTCTAAAAGATTTCTCATTCTCTAAAATCTTGCTGAAATTACTCATTTGCAAATGTGTAAGACATTCCTTTTCAAAATAAGATCATGAGGTTTCTGCAATCCAAGACTTTGTTTGTCCTCACAGAGATGAAATGGTAGTGCAAGACAAACCTGGAATAGCAGAACTCAGTTATGTTGTCAAACTATAGATACACATGCTTACAGTGAAAAAAAGGAGGATTCCTTTGGAGGATTCCATAGTATTCTTTGAGTAAGAAGAGGATTCAGGGTCGGGGTGTATAAAATTTCTCTGGAGCTTGTTGGATGAAGACAAAGACAAGGCCTGTGTAGATCTTGAGAATTCCACCCATTTTATCCAAAATTTAATTGTCTTCTACATCCATTCCACCTATTGCTTCTAGACTCATCACTGACCATTGTTTAGACAGACACTGTCTAAATGCATGTACCAAGCTTCCTAGAATTCAGCAAATTATAAGCAGAAAGTAATCAAAAATCTGCTAGGAAAAAATCCTTTGTAGAATTAATCCATATTTCCTTCAATAGAGGAAATCTAAAATTGCCTGTCACTGATATTGGCATCACTAAGTGCCTGTACCCAAATTCAGACTATAATTTGATATTGTATTGTATAGTTTTTTCCAATAATACCTGGAATAATCCCTGATTCTTAAAAGCTATTTTGGGGATTTTAGTTCCACAAACTTTCTCACATGCAAACATCAGTAACAAATCTGTAAATCTAGATCTAACCACAAAGACTGCTTTCAGGTGATGCAATAACTTAACACTAGAGATCTTACATTTTCCTGTAATAAGCCAACACTCTCCAAAGTCCTTTGTGTTTAAGACTGCTCCCAAACTGTAACACTAGTATTTTACCTCATGTGTAATATGTCTTTCATTACAAGCAGACCCAAATCAGAGTAGCTCCAAGACCTTTTCAACTCACAAGGTGCTAAATCTTATCCTGTTGACCACTGAAGTTCTTCTTCTTTAGCTCAGTAAATGACAGACTGAATTTGTAAACATCGTTCATTATATTCTTTGTGCATCTAGTAACTATAATGCAATCCAATCAAATTATTAGCTCAAAACTGTCGAGACTCCTGGGTGAATTTGCAGTGGTCCAATTTTCTTACTCCATTTTCTTTCAGGTTCCCATTCCTAGCCACACTCTCCATTTCAGACCAATTAGGTGATTCAGTTTTCAGTCCTTTATTTTTTTCCCCTTTTATTGTTAGTGTGTCCAGTTGAATAAACTGCTATGTTTGAGCCAGTCTGAAGCACCTTATGCATCTTATTCCATATATGTTGGTCAGACTCTCATTATGTCTGCCTAGCTGCTAAGGATACATAATGAACTTAATCTTAAACATATAAGCCTTTTCTTCAAAGTATTTAATTTTTTTTTTCTTTTGGGTGATGGGCACACGTGGAAATGGCACCCAATAATTACTGTAGTTTTAAAATTGACTCTTCATAGATATATATTTTATACTAACGTTTCACTTAATTGTTTTCCTTAAAATCTAATTAGCATCTGCTTTATTTGCTTTACAAATCCAATACTCCTCTTCATCTTTAGAAATGTTGTAAATTAGCCAGGTCTTCCTTTCTTCCTCAAGCATAGCTGGCACATATCTACTGGAGTCCAGGCAATCAGGTTTCATCTGGTGATTGCTTCTTGTGGTACACTGCTGCAAGGAATGACTCATCATCTGCAGCAAATTTATGATCACATGGAAATATTTTGATCTTCTGTCATGGTTCTTTACCAGCATGACCAGGTTTGGTATAGCATGCATGCAATATTCGTAAAATCTTCCCCCACTACACTGGATGGATGTCTGTCAGCACACATTGTGGAAGATCAGCTAAAGTCACTCTTTTCCTTTCACAGAGGCAGGAATTGGCTTAGAGAGGTGGCTACAGACAAGATATTCTGTGTCTCGATACCTCAGTCTCTTTAAAAGCAGGGTATGTGGTACAGAGAAATACAGCAATTGTTAGGAGGTATCATCTTCTCTGCTATTTTGGCAATGATGTTCAGTTTGCCCCAAAAAACTTTTCAGGGGAACTTTGCAAATCATGAAACTCTTCCACCCATGATGCACAAGTTCTTGCTCTGTGAGATAACTTAGTACTGTATTTGAGTTATAAGCTACATAAATCACAGTTGTCTGAAGCATTCTTACAATGAGTCTTCAGAAGTGCTTAATTCCAAATTTAAAAAAAATAAATCACATTGCAAAATATTCTTATGGCTGTTCGAAGGCATAGAAAATAACAGCATTGATTAAGCCAGTAACTTAGCTGCAAGAAAGGAAATTTCTGCAATTCATTACTATATTGTCATTATACTAGGAGTATGTTGAATGTAAACAAGCAAATAAAGTACATCTCTGTAGGTTCAGATTTAAAATATACACATTCTATTATCCTTTATACATAAACAAACAAATAAATGGACTATCAGTAGAAATAATCTTATGAGTCCAGCAGATGCTTTCAAAATCAGTAGAAAAATTAATGAAATTAATTCAAATCAAATAATTTAAGTTTTCTTTTAAAATCCTAAGTAACAATTTACATACTGGGAATAATTTTGTAGTTTGCAACTTTATGAACATTTTACTCCTGCCTTGCTTCAGAACTTCGTTGCCCTGGAATTGCATCCATTATAAATTAAGCTTATGCCATAAGTCAGAAGTCAGGTTAGATAACTGATAATCTAATAAACCTTGGTAGTTACAGATTACAAATATTTTCTTTATGTACAGATTTTTTTGGTTTGACATACAGACTCTCTAGTAGTCTCTAGTACTTAATCTATAAT